TCAGATGGCCTCAAAGGGCGTGTTTTTGAAGTGAGCCTTGCTGACCTGCAGAATGATGAAGTTGCATTTAGAAAATTCAAGCTAATTACTGAGGATGTTCAGGGCAAAAACTGCCTGACTAACTTCCATGGCATGGATCTTACCCGAGATAAAATGTGCTCCATGGTCAAAAAATGGCAGGTGAGACCAGAAGTTCCCTACAGTGGATGGTGCTAAGGAACACACAGCCAGGGAGGGATGTTGTAGATGGTTTTACAAGGGTGTCATGATGTAATGACAAAACATGGAGCAATTGAGGTGTGGGGTTCCTTTAATATTGTTATCTAGTTTCCTTTCATGGGTCCTGGCTAGTGTGAGCAGTTCTGGGTGCATGCTTGCAGTTCTGTCTTTAAATGTTTCAGATCTTTTGACAAAGGAAGGGTTGGGTGGTTTTGTTCTCTTTTACTTCAAAGTTTGCTAAGTCTTGGTTTCTTGTGGGTCTATAGGTAAGAATATTTCAGAGTTATGAGGCTGAAATAAAGATATGTGTAAACATTTAGCAGAAAGCTTGAGAGAAGGCAGTTAATAGTATTCTAACAAATAGTTAAACTGGTTCAGATGTGTCTAACCATCCAGATTTGGGAATATGTTGGGTGTGGGAATGAATGATGACAAAATGTTTCGGTCCCAGATGATACATACTGATTATACCGTTACATTTATTTCTGACATTCCCCTGAAGTTTTATGGTCACATTTCTGGAAATATTTTAAGGTCCTTTTGCTATAATAGTACTGTGTTCATCTTTATGGTAGATTTACAGAATGCAAAGGAGATAAGTTTTTGTCACTAAAGATGGGATTTTTAAAAAATGTAAGCACTGTTAATGACTTAAATTTAAGCTTTAAAGTTGACTATTCTCTAGCATGGCTTTAGTTTCAAACAAATGGCACTTAAAAATATTTTGGTGTTAGTGTGGTAGTATTTGACCTTGTCTTAAAAGATGGAATAAATGTAGATGTCCATATTGTGGTGTCTCTCAGAACCTAGCAAGTTCTTCTGATATTTGGGTTGGGGGTAGGGATGAACCGTTAAAGGTTGGCATTTATTTTTAAATGGTCAATGGTAGGTGCTGTTGAGATAATGTAGTAGGGTAGAGAAGATAACCTAGAGAGAAGACTGTTCAATTGGATATGAAGAATAGCAAGACTTTGGAATAACCTTTGGTGTGTTCACTTCAGAAAGGTGATTTTGTAAATCAGAAGTGTAAATAACATTAAATTTATATGGTGTCATATTTTCATCCTTTTTTTTTTCAAGTCGCGTTTGAGTGATAACTTTAATCTGACAGGCTTTGTTTTTTGTTTTTTTTTACACCTAGACCATGATTGAAGCTCATGTTGATGTCAAGACTACAGATGGTTATTTGCTTCGTCTCTTCTGTGTTGGTTTTACTAAAAAACGCAACAATCAGATCCGGAAGACCTCTTATGCACAGCACCAACAAGTCCGCCAAATCCGGAAAAAGATGATGGAAATCATGACCCGAGAGGTGCAGACAAATGATTTGAAAGAGGTGGTCAATAAATTGTGAGTGTTTCTTTCCCCTATATAACACAACTATGGACCCCTCATCCCTTAGATAGGGGAAGGCATGAAATAAGTCGTCTGTTGTTAAAATCCTGTCTGTGAAACTCTTTACTCTGAAAATGAATGTGCTAAGTTTGGGGCTGGCGGGAGAGGATGAAGTTATTTCATGGCAGAAGTGAAATACAGCAAATGTTTTTGCTTCTGTATATGGGAATAAGTGATGACAAAATGTTTCGGTCCCATATGAGATCCAGTGATAATACTTAACATTTTTCTGATGTTCCCATACAGCTAGCTAACAGTGTTCGAGAGTTCTAAGACTTGAACTTAGAAGTCGCAGGTGCTTAGTTGACTACTCACTAGCCGTACAGTTCACACCATTTAATCTTTACCTGTGAAAGACTATAGATTACCTTGCCTCGAGAATTTTTGTGTGTGAAGTGGATTGTATGTGTGGGTTTATTCTAACCTATTGAACTTGTTTGCAGGATTCCAGACAGCATTGGGAAAGACATAGAAAAGGCTTGCCAGTCTATCTACCCACTCCATGATGTCTTTGTTAGAAAAGTAAAAATGCTGAAGAAGCCCAAGTTTGAATGTAAGTTCAAAAATCAGGATTCCTAGGAGGAAATGTTGTCAAGTACAGTATTGACATTTGGGTGTTTTGTTTTGTTTTACATATTATTGAAGACCATCATTTCAAGATACGGTTACTGCATAACTAACAATTTTTTTCTTCCTTTTAGTGGGAAAACTCATGGAGCTTCATGGTGAAGGCAGCAGTTCTGGAAAAGCTACTGGTGATGAGACAGGGGCTAAAGTTGAACGAGCTGATGGATATGAACCACCAGTTCAAGAATCTGTTTAAAAATCAGACTTTCAGTAATGATAAATAAAAAGTTGGATTAAAACTTCTTGTGTGGTTTTTATCTGTTGCTCTTAGTTACAAAGTACTTAAAGAAGAGTGGTACTCTTGTAGTTTTACAGATGGCCAACAAAAAGAAACACTTCTGGCTTATGTTTGATAGTTTTCAAGCCAGACTGTTAAGATGGATTGCAGGACCCTGCCTCTAGAATTTCTCACATTCTAGGCTGAGACCTGAGGAACTTTCATTTTAAACAACCATTTAGTTGTTCCTAAGGCCCAGGAGCCACACTGACAGTCCCTTGTTAGACTGAATAATGGAATAAGAGGAAGAGCCCATTTTTAACCGAAATGCTGTGTTTTGTGTCTAGCTGTGAAACTTCTCATTGACTGTGAAGCTGAACTAGAGGAATCAGAGGTTGGTTTAATTGTGGGCATTTGCTGTTAGTCAGGATTTCCTCTCGCCACTTAGTTTTTATTCTCAAGCTTCCGATGTTCATTTGCGCTTGGCTGATGATCATTCATAAAATCACCTTTAAGAAAACTTAGTTGGGCCCTCCCTGGTGGCGCAGTGGGTTAAAGCACAGCACTGAGAATCTAAAGCCTCTTCCGCATGAGTTCAATTCCCGCCTGCCCCGGAGGTGACCACATGGCTGGAAGACCTCTCCTGACCCGCCCGCTGCTCCCCTCAACAGTGTACTTGGTTGATCTGTCTGTTCTGCTCCCCACTCTGTCTCTGGTGAAGCCTCTTAC